TAGTTTTGACCTCAAAGATCCCTAAACTGGTTTCTGGAACTCCCAGGGATCCACAGACCACACTTAGGACCAACCCACCTAAAGTATTTAGAAACTTATTACCAATAGGCTTTAAGATTATAAAAAGGTAATTTTTATTGATGAAACTTTTTCATTCATGCCGGACCATTACATTTTGAAGCACCTTTTAAACAGAAAGTTTGCAAGGTTTTTAAATATATGTGGAATTGTATAAACTTATGTATAATGCATATAATATGTTAAAGATTATTGTGCTTGTATCACACATAAGTATAATAAAGTTTACAAATGTTTTAAAGAAATGATGTTTCAGTGCTCTCAAGTACATACAGTAATACTAATAATCGATGAAGTTCTACCAACTAGGGTTCTTTTCAGGTCCTTCACTTCAAATTCAACATGTCCAGATACTACTCACATTCCCCCCTATATTCACCCATTCCCCCCAATTTCCTTATTTCTCACAAGGGTACCACCATTTTTCTCATTACCTGGGTTCCTAGGAAGTCTTGTCTTTTGCCTCTTCCTGCCCCACCTGAAACTTGTCAATTGCATTAGGGTCACTGATTCCACTTCCACTCTTACACCTGTTTGCTTTTCTTCACTCTTACAGCCTCAGACCCTCATTGTCTCTCACTTAAAATACTGCAATAATCGAATTTGTTCTCTTCTGCTTCCAAGCTCCCTCTCTCCAAATTGTCCTCTACACGGCTGCAAAGTGATATTCCTAAAACATAGATCTATGTCACTCCTCTCCTCAAAAATCTTTGGTGACTCCCTATTGCCTCTTGAATGAAATACAAAATCATCATCTTCATATTTAAAACCCTCCACAATCTAGACCCCACCTGTCTTTCTAAGGTCATCTTCTAATCATTTCTCTTTCAAGTAGTCTCTGTTGTAGTTACATTGACCCACCACAGATGTTCCTCATACACGACACTCAGTGATGTGTGAATTCCTTGGGACAAAGTAAGTATATTTATTGATTTATTCAATAAACTTTACAACTTTTTACATCTTTTTAAAAAATTTAAATATGCAAAATGTCCTCCTTTTCTTGCACTTGTTTCACCCAATTTGGCACTGAGTTCACAAGACTTTGACATGTATCAATTCTTTACCACAAAACCACTTATTACATCAGGTATTGTGTTCTTTTGATGAATCTAGCCTTGATAATAACCCAAAGGTTTTTAATGGAGTTTAAATCAGGTGAGTTCCCAGCCATAGAAGCATGTTTACCTCTATCTGATTTCTTAACTTTTCATGACATGTGGCATGGTGCAAGGTCATCTTGCAGAATTCCATTTCTATTTGAGAATTTCCATGATTCTAAAATGATTGATTCTGCTTTCTCAATAGATTTATCAACACTCATCCTTCTTTCAATGAGGACAAGACTTTAAGGCCTGTGGGAAAAAAAAATCCCCCACATATTTTTCTCAAGTGGTTGTTTTATAGTGTGATAAAGTTGCCCATATCTTACTCAGGCTCACCTGTTCTTCTCCTGACAATGGTTCTGGCATAGCCTTGAATGAAAAAGTTTCAATAAAAATTATCTTTTTATAATCTTAAGGACCTCAGTATTTGTACTGTCCTTCCAATGACAGACACCTTCTCTTCAAACAATAATTGGCAGCTTTTCTGTCTCCTTGCTGTTTTTCCAACTTTCAGAAGCATATATCTCACTGCAGAGGAATCAAGAACAACGCTTACAGCTGTCAGGTCCCTCGGAAGGTCTTTGCTTGTTTTCTGAAGTTTACTTAAGGCAGTTTTATAACAGTGATTTGGAAGTTCTTGTTTTTTGTTTTTGACTGCACTTTCTTAGCTTCAGTGTGACTGATTCTATTTCATTATGATCTTTTTTTTTTTAAGGCAATTGGGGTTAAGTGACTTGCCCGGGTGTGAGAATGACTTGGGACAAACAATAATCTTGATATGGTTTCATTCTGTGACAACAGTGGTCTTGAATATGTGCTTCTGCTGACACTAGGCTAATGCAAAACATCCAGGTAAGAACCTCCACACCTTGTACAGGCAGTCCCCCATGTTTGGAATGTACTACCTCCTTCCTTATCTTTGCCTCTTAGAATTCCTAAATTACTTCAAAGCACAGTTGCCAACTCCTACATAAAATCCTTTCTGATTTTTCGGGTTAGTGCTCTATCCCTCTTAGAATTACTTAGTATAATTTTGTATATATTTTTAATTTACTTATTTGTGGGCATATTCACACCTAGCAGAACGTAAGTTCCCTGAACACAGGATCTATTTTTTTTTATTTTTTATTTTTAAGGCAATTGGGGTTAAGTGACTTGCCCAGGGTCACACAGCTTACTAGCTATCAAGTGTTTGGTCTGAGGCCAGAATTGAACTCAGGTCCTCGACTTCAGGGTCGGTGCTCTATCCACTGCGCCACCCAGCTGCCCCCCCCCAGCACAGGATTTATTTCATTTTTGTCTTTATCTCCAGTGCCTATTATGGACCATAGCATTTACTGGGCCTTTAATGTTTATTGAACAGAGCTGAATTCCAGACTTTTTTTAATGAATAAAGATTCTTTGAAATTACTCTGTTATTTTTACATGAAAATGATACTATGTCTGGTTCCTCTCTTTAAGTAGGTTAAACATCAAATCCTATTTACACTATTAATTTGTTTGGTAAAAAAATCATCGGGAATATGATATCTAAATTATCAGATAACTCTAAATATCTGGAGTCCAAACTAAAGAGATTTTACTGTAGCCACTGCTTTTCCCCCCTGGAAAATGGAATTTTTTAATACAGCTATTATTTTTAACTATTTGAGACTATTTAACTACTTATCCTAAACCTGTACTTCTAAATATCTTATTTTGTATTTTCTGTCTGCTCCCTTCCTAATTCAGATTTTTCTTCCCTCCTTTATGTCTACTTGCCTGGACACTCCAACAAAATGCTCTTTATTATTACCCATTAATGTTCTAAAGGTGAAAATGAGTTAAATGATGGTAGAATTTTATTTTTAAAGCTGGGAATATTACATTATATAGCAATGTTTGTTTCTTCAAATTGTTCATTTAAGCATTTAAGATATACTATGATCAAGTATTCTTACGTGCTTCTAATTCATAAATGTTAAGAATTGCTAATATGTTCCACTGTTTGTTTTCATTATACTGAATAAATTTTTCTTTTACCATCTCTTCTATAAATTTCCAACCCAAAAATAAGGAGGTTGAAACTGATGAAGCAAAAAATATCTTATTGAAAGTAAAATGTGCCAATGTATACTCCAAATCTAATCAATATGTAACACAAAAAATTCTAATAAAAGAAATAGAAAATATTTATCACAATTAACATCTTGTAATATTGTATATCACGTACATCAAGCTAACAAGCTCTTCTATTCTCTGAATTTGTTCTTTTTGGCTCAACATAAAAAATTGGTCAACTAAGATGCCCTTGGCAGTTTTGATTTTAGGAAACACAAGGAACACTGGCTTGCCAAAATGGCTCTTTAGAAACAAAGTATTCTAAAAACCAGAATGATTCCTGTTTAGAATTTCCTAGGCAATTCTAACTTCTTATAAGGATGGGGACAGCAACGTAAAATTTTTTTTCAATTATAATACTGAAAGAAACATAAGTCTTTCTACTACTTTTACGTTTTAACTCTGATATCTAGAGACTCCCCAAATGGGAAGACGTTTACTTAACATGACCAGTTTGATGCTTTATCATGAACTTACCAAATCCCAATTTGAAGTACCTTCTTCTACTAATTCCTTTTGCTTTTAATCTAAAAATGTTCCAAATGAAGAATAACATGAAGAAAGCTACCTATGCTACTATGAGTTCTATGTGTGACCACGCTGCAAAATCAGTTCAAATGAAATGATGATGAGCCAATCAATCGAGTCAAGAGTTAAACCATTTGTGTATGTACACACAGCCAAAATCAGATCAAGAATTTTAAAGAAAACTCAAAACATGCTTGGTCTTAAATGGCCAACGAAATTTAATTTTGTTAGGGAAAATTCAAACAAAGCAGTTGTTCATCAATTACCCATTGGAAAACTCTGCAAAAATGTCTTTAGTCAACACTATGCAGTCCAGAACCTGAATACAGTAGTTCTGTTTGCCTTAATATGACAATAGCTGAGACTGAAGAGCACAAGGACCCCTTTTTATTTTTTTCAATTAAAGGCTGTTTCAGTACGTAGTCCCCAAATTTAACTTCTCTTCTGTCCTTCAGATGTTTAATGTAGATAGGAGTGTTGCTTCTGAAGGGTGCCCTACCTAGAAAGATGGTATAAAATACAAGGAGCTCTCAATTATTCATTTTAATAAGGGATAGCATAGATAACTGAAACCCAAAGAATTTTCCAAATCTCAAGCCAATTCTCCAATTCCCAAATCTTTAGCCAATAGTTTAAAACTTTCTACAATAACAATTTTGTTTTTACAGAAGTTCTATTTCAAAATGAAATTCTGTCATTAAAATAGCAGCCCCTTCTCCCTGACCCTGCCCAATCTTTTGTGGCACTGCCAACAAAGAGAGAATTGGCCAAAGGAAAGGTAGCAGGAGATACAAGGAAGTCTAGCAGGAATCCTGGATAAACCATAAACTAGATGACCAGTCAATACTCCAGAGGTAGCCAAGACTACAACTAAAATAAATGACTTCATCTGATACTCCTAAATGAGTTATTCTGGTATGTGTAAATAAAGGTTTTACTCAGAATAATTATGAAATTATGTAAATCCAGCATATCTACCCACAGACTAAACAGAGCAGGAAATCCCTCATTCTCTCATGAATCATTATCTTAGCATTTGTTGGCATAAAGAGGGAAAAAATGCAGAGACTAATCAATCAACTAATTAATAAACTAATCAACACAGAACGGATGATTAAATTTAAGAAGACAATGGCTAAAGGCAAAGTGGTAATGCTAAAAGATTACAAATAGAAAAGTAATACTAACCCTCCACTTCTGAGATGGGCTGCTGTTGATGTTGCTTTCCCTTTCAAAATGGCCTGTTCACTGGTTTCATTTAGGTCTCCATCATGTGTTAACTGAGGATCATTACTGTTAAAATGACCAATGGAATTTAATTCTGTCAGACAAATTCCATTTATTTTCACTGAAGAATCCCGAATGATAATGGTGTCCTCAGATTTCAATCTCTTCTTTGCTGCGAATAACCAACAATATTTTTTTTACAAAATTTACAAAAATGCCTTTATAATACTAGTATATTAACTAATAACATTTTTTGTTCTAAAAATGTACAGGTACTAAATCTTATGTGGATATGAGATGTCTGGAATTATAAAGTCAAAAACCTCTCTGAGCATGTACTGAAAAACTTCACTGTTATTTCAAAGCATGATATCATCATTGTACCCAATAGAAATGTGTTACTTGTCTTTTCTTTAGTATATAGCCTACTTGAAGGCAGCTACTGCAACTTTGTGACATACCTAGTACATTAAGTAACCAGCATTTAAATGTCAACTAACAGTTGCTAATAAATCTTCTTAAAAACAGTCATAGGTTACAAAATTAAAGAAAAAAATACAATAGACATTAAAGTATTTATTCTGAAAATATTTCTCAAAATATTTATAAAGGAGATTTAACAAACAGTTCAAATCAACAAAAAAGATGAAAAAGTCTGATCTTAAGCGTGCTATAATAAAAATAACACTGCACTGAGAACCAGGAGAGCTGGATTTGAATTCTGACCCTGCCACCTGTTACCTCCTCAACCTTGAGCAAATCCTGCACCTCTCTGGGTATCATTTTCCTCCTCTGTGTAATAAGGAAACACAGTATCAGAGACCTAGAGGCAAGGCAAGAGGGAACCTTAGATTATCTAGTCCAACGACCTCGTTTTACAGTTTGAATTGAGGTATTCCTAATCCCAAATCCAGTTTTTAGTCACTATGCTATCACCTACTGGTCTCTTGCCTCTTCAGAAAGCCTCAAGGTTTTTTGTTTTGTTTTTTAATGACATACCTGACACAGAAATGTACCCCAAACTATTTTATTAACATCAACTTCTAGGCCCGGAAAAAAGCAACTTTTAATTCCTTTATATCTTTTAAGCTCATTTATTCCATCATTTTATAAGTCAGGAAACTTAGAATTTAAGTGACTTGCCCAAGATAATGAAAGAAGCAGGCTTATAACCAGAGGTGTGCTGCTCCAGTGAGCAGATTGTTAAATTTTTCAGTGTGAGCATTTACACTTTGGTAGTCAGCAAAGGCTATAGATCAGGGTTTGATTTACTGTTTTGTTGACTTCTAGACTTACAGTAACAGAAAATATGTAAACAATGCAGATTAAATTTAAGTCTGTCCAGCCCCTCCTCTTCCCCACCCCCCAGGCCCAAGCCAATTGTGAAACCTTTACCAGCACGCCCCTGACAACGACTCCAAACAACCCAGATTTCCTGGCTTTTGGGACAGGACCTCTTCCATCATACTAGGCTGTTTTTAAGTCATTTAACTAAGGAAAGGCAAATTATGCTGTGGAACAGCCAAAGAGCTGTAAAGCTATACTGTATTTGGATGTAACATTACACTTAGTGCTTTTGAGGGAGCAAGTAGGAAGAAACAAGAAAAAAGAGGGGTTCAATAACAGTGTTCTTTGCATTCTACAACAGGGTTTTTACTCCTTACAAAGAGGAGAAAGCTGTCCATCGATATCCATCTTATTCTCAATAGACTTAAGCCCTCAGATTGAACAGTAATAGCTATATCCCTGATCTCAGAACTACCACGTCTGCAAATTTTTCTCAGCGTTGCTGATCAAATTTTTTTAAGTTCCTGCTGCAACTTGAAAATAATAATCAGGAGCACAGCAGTTTAGGAACAATCTATTATGCGTGTTTCTTTTTGGCAACTTAAAGCCAACTATCAGCCAACAAAAATATTTGAAAACAAAGACATTAACCAGCTGTCCCTACTTTAATTAGTGCTGTCTGCAAACCTCTTTTCCAAATCCAGGGGTTTCAAACTTGCCATGCCTGCCCCCTTCCCCCCCCCGGACCCCAAACATGGTCATGCCTGCAGGGTGGTACAACCAAAAAGTAAATCTAGTGCAAAGGAGGAGGGAAAGGGAAGTAAGAGGAGAGAGGAAGGGAGAAGGAAGAGGAGAGAAAGAAGAGGGGAGGGGAGAAGGGAAAGGGAGAGAGGAGGGGGAAAGGGAGAGGGCAGAAGAGGGGAGAACAATCTTGTGCTCTTGTTACTTGAGCATGCTCATAAAATCACAATTCCTTTTCAATCCTATTATTTATTTAGTGAGCGCTAACACACTCCAAGTCCAGAGGATGTCGATGTCAGGACTGCCAACGACGGCCAACACAGGACCTGTGGATGCAGAGAGTAAAGGTGGTGGCCCCTACAAAACCAAAGTGGGGAGGGGGATAAAAGAAAGATTCGGATGACATGCTTCATACAACTTTGAGGCAGAGGGAGTTACAAGGGCCATGAAATCATAGCAACAAACAGACCAGCCTGGAGTACAGCCAAAAGCAGTGTCTCAAAATAGGACATGATGAAGGATCAGAGCTGCCCAAAACAACAGGCCCTTCCAACAGAGTCACTAACTGGAGAACGAATTACTTCCTGGGGAAAAAAAAAAGTCTGTTAGGAACACACGTGCCTTTTCAGTCACCCTCGGACAATGGGTACTAACCACCCCCTGGAGCATTTCTGGGTACGTGAGATAGACACTTTATACAGCACTCTGTCTCAAGAGGTCAAAAAATAATAAAAACCCAAGGAATCTTCACACCAACCCTCTCTGCAGGAAGAATGCCAAAAACTGTCAACTCTCTTTTTAAAAAAAGAAGTGCACTAAGGGATCGGCATAAAGGGAAATCCTCCATTATGACATCAATTTCCAGAGCACATTTAATAATGTCTTGTGTTTCCATGGAACGGGAGCTATGATTTCACTGATCGAGGGAACTCCCAGTGAGGGAGCTGCCTCTAGCAATGCAAATGGGAACCTTCTCTGCACCTTTTAGTCCTTGGTCCCTAGGACACTGAGAGGTTAAGTACTTTGTCCAGGGTCACCGAGTAAGCATTCAGAAGGGTGACTTGAATCCATGTCTTCCTGGCTCCTAGGTCTGCTGGCTCTATGGACAATGCTTTGCTGCCCCATTTTATTAAGACCTTACAATTTAAAAGGTATTTCTACATCCTTTCTCTCATTCTCCATTCATTCTCTCTGTCTGGGGGTGTTGAGGGTGGTGGCAATAGTACAGTTTATTGGGTAGCATGGTGACTTCCTCCAACTACGGGAAAGGGAACAAAGCAGAATGAGGAACAGAAACATCTCGCAGAGGATGGGGTCTATGCAATAAGTCTCCTGGAGCTTATAGTGTGTATGTATGTATGTGAATGTGTCTGGGCTGTTCTCAAAGACTGGGGAGCCTGCAGATGCTCCTTTCCTTTCCCACTCTCAAGAGGGAGGCTCTCTAAAGCTGGGATAAGATTAAAGCCTGGCACCAAGCCCATGCCCTTGTACCACTCCTTGTTCCCAGGAATGATGTCAGGGCAAGGGTCACAGGTCATTTCCACAACAGGTGGGGCAGCCAGGATATGCATTTTACAAATGAGAAAACTGAGGCAGGGAAAAGTTAAGTGGTATGCTCAGCATCATACAATCTAAGAAGTGGAACGAAGGCTTCAATTTCTCCAAGTACAAGCCTGGTTCTTGGGCCACATTCTTAGACTAACAGAATTCTAGGCTCTGGAGCTGAAAGGGACCTCTGAAGTCAACTAGTCCAACCTCTCATTTTACAGATGAGGAAACCCAGAGGAGTCAAAATAACCTGCCCAAAGTCACAGAGATATTAAGTACCAGAGACAGTTTTTCTGACTCTAAGTCCCTTTTCTACTGTAATACTCTTCCTCTTATTCAAAGGTGAATCTCTCTAATAGATGCTATTGGGCACCGGTTTAATGAAATTTGCCATATTTGGATAGGCAAAACAATTGTTAGTTAGCTGGGACCTAGAAATTTCTCATTGTAATCAGTGCCTTTTTTTTTTTGCTTCACACTTCAACACTGGTCCACAGTTAATACAGCCAAATAAACACCTTCCCCTCTTCGTAACTTTACAGTGTCATTCTGATGCTGATAATCAACACTTTCAAACAGCCCAAAGTAAAAGAAGACACTCCGTTTGCTCCACTATGATTCTTCTTATATTACTCCACAAATGCACTGGTTCATTAAAATGGGCCTTTAATACAGAACTGAGGGTTATGCATCTTTTTTTCTTTTTCCCCTATTCCTTTTCACTCTTATTTCTTCCTCTTTATCTGTCGTTTTCTCCCTTTCTGATATACGTTGTTCATATTTACATCTTCTCTCTGCATATTAAAATCTACCCTCTCTGCATATTAAAATGTACCCCCTCTGCTTAATTATTTCTTACCCTTCATTCTATCCTCAGAGATTCTTAAAAGTAGAAACAGGACTCCAAATCTCTTCTGTGATTTCTCTACCATAAGTTTATCCACATCAATGTTTTTTTACACTTCTTTTACACAAAGACACTGAGTTTGAATAATTCTTTTGTATCTCTCTCATACAGCAAGAGCAGGGCTGTTTCCAATAATGAGGGCTCAAGTGTATAAATGCACAGTCATGACAAAAGAAGTCAATATTAATGGCCTCTGCCTCTTTTATCTCCTAAAACACATATAACAATTAGTCAACAAGTATTTATTAAGCTCTTTTTACAGTGCCAGACCCATAGGAGTGGGGATACTAAATAAAAACAAAACCAAAAAAAACCAGGCAAAAGCACTGTCCCTACCTTCAAGAAGTTCACATTCTAATAGAAGAGCAACATGCAAACAACTATATACAGACAAAATATATGCAGGGTGGACAGAAGAGATTCAGAAAGATATTTTTTCATAGGTTTCTGTGGAAATTTAATCTGTAAATATATCTAATTAGATTAATCCTTTTCTAAGCACTAATTACATTAACAAGTCAACTTTTATTCACATAACGGACTGGTCCTTGAAGTGGTAGATCGTATTTCAAAAAAGATCAAACCAAGGAGAAACAGGTAATATACTGGTTGGTGTTTACAACAGGCTGCCAGGGCAAAAGAACTGGAAGACATCAAAACTAGCATGGAGAAAGGAAATGTTGGTGATA